ATATAACTAACAAGTGTTTACCTATTAAGTATCAAGATTTAATAACATGGGTTATTGATCTATTTATTTGATAAAAGATTTTCTGTTTCTTTCAATGTCTTTCATGCATTATATAAGATTATACATATTTAATGTTTCTTTACAGAAATATAGAATTGTCATTCAAATTTAAAATTGGATCTGTCCTATTAACAACTCATCCAACTGTTGCAAGATGCAAAAAGTTTCAAACTGAAAAAAAAAAAATAAATTGATTTTTAAGACGTGTAATATTTACATTAGAAACCAAGCGTAAATATTATATGCTTATAATATTTGATAGATGTGTTATCTGTTATGTAGCTTAATGTCATTTGAACAGTAACCTAAGGTAAGGATTAGAAGGGGAAAGGGTTCAGGAATTGGTCCTAACTTGAATTTTGAGGTCAGACCAAATTGATTTGTTATTTTGTTTTTCACTGATTTTTGTTTAGTCTGTGACTCTGGAAGCAATGCTTAAAAACTCTGTTTCCATTGTCAGCGGCATCACAATTGTTAAAGTTTAAAGTGATAAGGTTAAACGGGCATGATTATTTCTCTGTTTTAACAGTTTTAAATACTGTAAATTCGGAAATTATTACGATGTTTTTATTATTGCGAAAAATGCAACAGAGTTGTAATTGCAATAATTTAAACTGGCATTTTGGATTTTTTTATATGAAAAAAGCAGAATTTTTCCCAGTACACATGTATTGCAAAAATAATAATCACATTTTAGTCTAAAATGACAAAATCACAATAGTAATTGCACGCATTAATTTCTGAATATACAGAAGGTTGAATAAAAGAATTTCATTTTTTTTCTCGCAAGAAACTGTTTTATTTTGGATTTATTGTGATATGCATTTTTCTTCTAAAAATTGTTTTTTGATTCAGAAAAATTTTCTGAGAACTAATTAAGTCAGTTTAAATGATAGATGCAAGAATTTATTTATATGTTTTAGCCTAAAATAATATTTAGAAAATGCTAAACATCTAATACAAGGGAGTGAATGATATTGATCAAAATGTGATGATCACATATAGTAAGTAAATTTAATTCTGAGCATCACTCAGAACATGAGATATGATTTTTACACAGGAACTTTTTATCCGGCAGATACGATTGTAGATACTCTTGAAGTGTAAAATTTAGTTACTGTCGGAATGTGAACATCTTTTACAGCTATTTTCATAGTATCTATATAAGTGTAAAAATAGTACCTTTAAATAGAATCAATAAATTAATATTACAAAATATTATGAAAATCAAAACCAGGAAATTGGAAGCTGCTACAATTGATAAAGGTACAGTATAGGCTGAATATTTAATTAATTTAAGTGCTTTGTTGTCATTGATTGCACACTTTGGTCTATTTATTTTTATTTATGTTGTGTTTACAAAATATTTACTACAGTTTGTAATGTTAACATGGGAATGTTTTTGTTTGTATTGAATAACATTTGAGCAAAACAAACTTTAAAGATAATTAGCTCTTTTTTTTTTAAATAATTTTATTAAAGTTTGTTTTAATTGTAGCTCTCTTTTTCCTATAGGTTTAAAAAATAAAAAAGGTAAGAAAAATGGGATGGACAGGATTTAAAAAAATGCATGTTTCGTTGACAGTCAGTTATGCATCTTGAGGGGAACTTTTAAGAATGACTGATTTAAAAGGTATTCAGGGAAGGGTAGTCCTGTACTGAACAAAAGTTAAAGGGGTATATAATTAAAACAGCAGAGTTGTGTTTTTGTCTGTTTAACTTTTATATATATATTATTATTCTATTTTAAATTTTAAAACAAATATCTCAACAATAGGGTATTCAAATCATTTTTTTTATGATAATTAATGTATTTATGTTTGACATCTTAGCCATTTCACCATTTATAAAAAAAACTCATTAAAACACTGAAAAGTGTGGAGGACATCTTTAATTGATTATCTGGTCTCAAAAAATAATGAAAACTAAAAACGAAGAGAAACATTATGTTTTTAAAGGTTTGAAATACTGTAAACATTTAGAAATGGAAGATTTGAAATAGAAATTTTACGAATTTTGTTTTAAAGTCTGTTGCTTGTTGTATACAGGTTTTGTCAAGTGAAGGTGAAATTAAATGTAGATTTAATTTTTAATGGCCTGCATAATGAGTTGCTCCTATGACTATTATATATATCTGTATCTGTATGAATATGTAGTTTTCCCTTGACCTAATTTCAGTTGGAGTTATTCCCTGTGGTAGCATGTTAGAAAGCAAACTGGTTGATTTTATTATTTGATTTACTAAATTTTGTTTTCTATGATAAGTTTTGAGTAATGTTGTTTGTCTTTTGTTCCTTTTCCCTTTTTTTCGCCATGGCGTTATCAGTATTTTTCGACTTTTGAGTTTGAATGTCCCTTTGGTATCTTTCACCTCTCTTTTAGACATGTTACATGTGGTATGAGCAAGTCTTCTAAAGACGCTTTCTATATCAAAGTGGTAACCTGGCAAGGCTTTAAAACAATCGAAAACAACTTCTTCTTAAGTCTAGCTGTCAGTAAAACAAGCTGAATTTAGTTGATTTTTGAAGAAATTTTTGCACATTGTGGCTTGCCTTCAAACATGGTGACAAAGGGTAATAACTCTATCTGGAATTAGGTCAACTGAAAATTATCTATTCTTCATAAAAACTGTACTAAGTAAAAATTAAAAGTTAATTATAACCCTGTCCACCCTCATTAATGCATGTTGCTGTCGCAGTTTGGAAGCATGTGGCTAGGTTGTGTTGAAAAAGTACAAATGAAAATGAACTCCCAGCATGCATTGCTTATATAATCCATAATTCATGGCATTCAGCATAAATTTTATTCAAGCTTAACTAGTAAAATTCAACAGCATTGCGACTCTCTGTGGTGCTTTATGGCATTCTAACTGTGTGTGCAATGCAAATTAGATTTGCTTAAACAGGTGAGAACAAATTTGTTAAAATGTCTATACTAGGGGAGATAACTCTAATTCAATTGATAGGAAATTGTATTTTTCACTTGTCAGTAACTGTCAGTTGTTTGTTGTATTTTTTTTAAACATCACAATTTTTATTGGTAAAGTGGACAGGATTATGAATAAATTACTATAGTTATCATGTAGAAATCATTATATTTAGAAATAACATAGACAAATAGGATGTTAAGAATTCACCAACAACAGATTCAAGCACAAAAAAAATATATATTTAAGGGGGGGATGGGGGGCTCTTATGGAGCTACATAAATGGTTAATTTTTTTACATGTTCCATTCAAATGTTGCCTAGTTTGGGGCCCACCCCCTTTTTCAAAATCCTGGATCCGCATCTGAGGTCAATACATTGCAAATGTCTATACCATATGCCAATCTCTATAGCCTAACTGTTCTCAATTAAGCCCAAAAACGTTGTGGATTAATTTAACAGGGACTTCCAAATTTCTAAAGTAATTTTCAACTGATTTTCAGGAGATTTTTCATTTATTGTCATATAGTTTAAACACAAAACTTAAGATTTATTTTTCGGTGTTCAAATTGTGCAAAAGTTATATTAGAGCTTATTGAACCTTTTAATTAATAACTAAGGTTAAAGGTGAAAATTTCATTCAGATTTATTTAGAGTTGACTGCAAAGCAATTTGTGGAAAAAATACTGTTTAATTGAAAAATACAGTAAAAAGTGAATAATAAATTTGCTCTTATCATTTGACAGCTTTGTTGAAACTTGTATTTTGTGTAGTAGATGTACATGTGTATTATTTTCCTTTCCGTACACAATTTATGTCATATAGTTTAATTTAAAAAACTGAAATCTATGGGAAAAAGAAATGGATTTGTTTACAGAAAAAGTCAAATTCAAAGATGAAGAAGCAAATTGCTGGTGTTTACACTGTGAAAAGTGTGAATCTAGATAAGAAATAAAAACATTTTGATGCAAGATATGGGGTTTACTTAAATCAGACTGCCACCAAGTAACACAATGAAAACAGCACTATTTTTTTTTTAATTTGATTCCGTCAATGTGAACAAATCTTGATGTGGGATATGCTTCAAAGAGACAGCATCCTAACAACAAAGATAACAGTAATCATAACTAAAAGACATTTAGGGATCAAAATACAGTATTCTACCTACAACTGTATTATGTGTTAAATATTGAGTTAGTTTCCTTGAATACTGCAATGTTGCATTTATATACGAAAGGGAATGTTTTTGGTTACTTGGAAATTAATCCATTGGACAAATTAAACTGTAACATTGTAGAATGGGACCTGGAAACTAAAATACTATTACTGATTAATGGATTCCAGCTGATATGGGTTTTATAATGCTGAATTTTAAATCTGTGGTTTCAAACTTTGTTCCTTTGATTGGATTTGGAAATTTTATATTTCATGTTTCATTGTGTATTGATTAATTATATTTTTCTCAAGCTATAACTGCAGGTACAAATATTTATTGAAACATTAATTTTATTTCAGTTTAACAAGTGGTGTCATACAGTCCTTGTTAAATACTTGGCCTTGCATGAGGGTCTAGATGGGGTTTAAAGAATACAGAATAATGGGTCAAATACAGAATAGAGAATAATGGGTCAAATACAGAATAGAGAATAATGGGTCAAATACAGAATAGAGAATAATGGGTCAAATACAGATAATGAGTCCAAAAAATAAAGAATAGAGAAAAATAGGCAGAAATTGTTTTTTTTTTTTTAAATATTGGGATGCTAAAATATAAAGAATAGAGAAAAATGGGCAAAAATATATAGAAAAGAGAAATATGACCTATGAAATTAACTAATACAGAAATATAGGATCCCCATGCAGACTCTTATGCATTAAATTGTAAACTGTATGTTAATATAACTTTATTTTCAGGGCTTACACTTTTTTTTTAAATATTCTCTCATCCAATGAAAACTGAGATTTTGATCATGTGCTATTTGAAATAGAATTGTATTGGTTCTTTTTTTCCTCAGTTGTGTTACATTCACCACCCATTATAACAGAAGAGGACAGTGCTTATTGTGATGGAGCCAGTGACATGTCTAGTGAGGGCACATTAGATTGTGATACTGCAAAGGATTCTGGGAAGCCTGGCAGCCCCGTTATGCCCAGTGAAGTATCCCAACTCCCTGTGGAAACAGCAGAAAGTGATCTTCCTGATTGGCTGAAAGCTGTAAATATTTTCTTTTCTGAAGATTTGCATTATTCCTCCTCTATAGGAACAAATCACCTTTTTTGTCTCAGTCTCACCCTAAACATGAAATATTATTCTTATTTGAAAAGCAATCAATATATCAATATTGAGGTCACCCTTTATTTTGAAGATCAATTCAAAGGTCACCTCTGTTATAAGGCTGTTTTCTGGTCCTAATGGTGACCTTCAAATAAAGGTTTGACTGTAATTAAACTTAAAATAAAATCAATTGATACAAGTGAAAGAAAGATACAAAGTTCTGTTTAAACTTTATTATACATTCATAATGGTTTATATTTTGTTGCAATAACATTTATGATACCCATTTTATTGCACCAGATGCACATTTTGACAAGTTATATCACTTTAATACTTGAGGCCGAAGTATTTGAAAATGAAAAAAAACATTTCACAAACGTTGAAGAGCTAATATAGCTGTTTTGCAATATGGCTGATTTGCCCAGACACACTGCGAACCAATGTTCAATCAATTATAGGTTAAAATATTCAGCTATTTCTCAGCTTATAAGTATTATAATTTCTCTAGTTCTGCATGAATTTAACAAGTCCTAACTAGTGAAATATTAAAAAAAACACTAATTGATTCAAATATTGTGTAAGAATTCTCAACAAAATTTATTGGTTTCTTTAAAACACTAGTGAAAAGATTTAACCACAGGTTATTTATACCATCTAGATAGTTCAGTTTTCAAATTTAAAAAGCTCTGCAAGCCTTTCACTGTAAATTTTGAAAATTTGAATATCATAATCAATGCTTTATTGTTGTAGACTTTATTTATATGTCTGTTCTGTGTTCAGCATAGGATGAACTGTTTTAACTTTTTATCTATGGAGTAACTATCCAATAAAATTTTTCTGTGTCATAGCTTTCAGCTGATATTTTCCAATATCTAACAAAAAACCGACCTAATAATCTGTACTTATCTGGTTTAACCCAATCTATTGAATATATATAATATTTAATGATTTGCCATGAAATTTAAAATGGAGGACTTCAAAGAAAAATTACTTGAAAAAAATTTGAAAGGAAAGAATACATAAATTTTACATTGGAAAACCCATACCGTCATTTATACTTTACACTTGGTAAGTAAATAAGGGTTGGTGTAGTCTAACTGGGCTATTCCGTAAATTCCGAGATATTCCATTACTTTCATTAATGCTATCTTTGAAAATAAACAAATATGTAAGCTTTTTACAGTTATATTGAACTGATATACCACTGTTATAGGTTAGGGGGTTGAGTAATTAATCACATCATTGCTCTTTGGTTCCTTATTGGCAATCACCCCACACCTCCAAATATTTACATAGCAAAATTTTACAATACACATTCTCATTTTTTTTATTCCATTCATTTTCAATAGACTGACAGATGGTTAAAGTAAACTTTTTTTTGTGGTTGTCTTTTCCAGATTTGATATTTATTCTATATTTATCCCGAAACATTTGAGGGTTTTTTATTTGCGTTTTAAAACAAAATTTGTGCATGGTTTTAACCCTATTTTCTGTCCATTTGTTTTTATGACAAGTATTACAAATTGAAATTGAGTTATTCCCCTTTCATTTAAAACAAGTTTAAATTATCCAAGGTTTTCATTTTCCAAATAAACAGTTTGGATTAAGGTTTTGATACTGATGTAATTACTATTTTTTTTTTATTTTTGAGAATTCTGTAGAAGAGTTATCAATTAAACTAAAGTGTTGTTTAAAGATACTGCTGTTATGTTTCCATTAAACAAGCTTAACATTCAAGGAAAACCTGTTTGTCGCAAATTAAAATGAAAATCAACCAAGGATTGAATAAGAAAATGCAAACCACGTTAATTGACAGAATTTTTTTTTTTTTCATTGAATGAGATTTTGAACATTTCTCCATTATATCAGATTTCAGTTTTGTGTAAATTCCTGGTGTCTAATTTTATTGGGTTTTTTTTTAATGCCTACACCATAAAGAGTCAGTTATATTTAGACCCTCTTACTGAAGGACGTTAAATGCTTTGTTTTAATATGCTGCATTTTTTGGGACTTAAACTCAAACTATTATAGAGTTATGGCTCTTATTTTTAATGTAAAAAGCTGAAAATAGAGATTTTCAAAAGATATCGAAATCCTAGTATATATAAAGTAAATGATAGAAGATTGTTATTAATTGTAAGGGGCCTTAAAATATTGCGGTGTTGACTTTTATTGTTGCAGAATTATGACCTTTCTATTGAAAGAAAAAATGAAACTGAGGGTTTGAATATTACAACAAAGTACATACTTTAACAAATGATATTTTAACATGATGCAAAGAGTTCATTTATTTCTGTGACTTTGACTAATAAGTTGTAGATTCATGACCCATGATTTTTAGAAAATGATGAAATTTGAGATTAAAGAATTATTCATAAATACCTCTAAAACAAGTAATTTTGAAATTTTAAAATTCCATTGACCATTATATAAAGGTCAAAGAAAATATGGTGATATTTACGGTAGGTGTGGTCAGATTACTAAAATTATTATGATTTATAACTTTTTCAGGAATTAGATGACGCTGAAGTAATACCCTATCCAGTAGGCAACCAACCCCCCATCCCACCACTCCCTATCAAAACTGCCAGTATTAAATCAAATCAACAAAAACCAGTAACAAGTAACCAGCAGACGTCTGTCACCATGCCAGCAGAGGTCTCCAAATCTAGTGAAAGTGTTCAACAAAATGAAATACCAGATCATAAAGAAAATTCTTCAGTTGTAAGTTTTTGTTTTATGATAATTGTTTTTGTTTTATAAAAGACTTTTTGTTGATGTTTTCTTTGGTTTTCAAAGGAGTTGGAATGTACTGTCACTATCATTGATGAGGTTAAGATGGACTATTCTGGTGTACATGAGCATACATACTGACTTACCCTTTGAATAAGGTTTGAAATAAAAAAAATGTATAAACTTCATAATTTTACATCTCAGTGCAAAATGTCCTCTTAACTGTGGAATTATTGAAAATACCTCAAATGTATGTACTGAAAAATAAATACATTAAAAAGGATTGATTGATTGTTGGTTGCTTAACGTCCAGTGGCAAATATTTCATGCATATTCAGGACGAATATTTAAAAGGAAGAACATCACCGAAACATTGGACAGCCCAACAGACCACACTGTCAAAATGTGGTGGAATTAAACAAGTTTTACATGTGCATGTGAACAATCCCCTCCTCCATATTGCCTAAAAAGTACACACTTATAGGTTGTATCTGTATATGAGCTCACTATGTCATGTTTTTACACTTTGTTATTGGAAACCCCTTTGATCTATCTGATCAAATGATTAATAAATAGATATGTATCTTAGCATGTTGTGAAATAATTCTGTCAAGTTTGGTACCATTCTTACATGTCTGTAAATTTTTGTATTGGCAAATTCCCTTGATGTCGATTGGTGAGGTCTAATCTCTTAACATTTGTAAGGGAGACAAAAACATAAATTTAAAATGTTTTGGTGCAGTAACTATCAAGCCTAATACAGCTAGAATTTTGTCCTTTTTTCGGCATGTTTGAACGCAAAGTTTTAACATTTTTTCTTTCAAAACTTAATAATAAAATAGAAGAAATCAGAAAATTACAAAATTGGAATAATTTCATTTTCAACTAATTCTAAACTGTCTAAAAGTATGTTTAAATACTAAAACACTTTACCTAAATAACAAAAAACTCCTAATTACTATAATGTCATCTAGTAATTTGTAACTTCAGAAATAAATAATATAACTATATATAACTATTATTTGTAAAATTATTTCGAATAATTACAGTTGACAAACTAGTCTGGTGTATTTATTATCTGGGTACTGTGAATTAAATCTTGTTACGAAAATAATTACCATATATACAGGTACCTACATGTTTGTACTTTTTAGGCACTTTAAAGGAAGGTGGGACTTTAATTCATCAAAATTGTCAATGTGGTCTGTTGTGATCAGTGTTTTGGTGCTTCCTTTTTTATGTATTTTTCAGTACATAAATTTTTAGTATTTTTAAAAATGAACTTTTATTATTTGGAACAGTTTTAGCACTTCTAATGACTATTAGTATCATAATTTTGCACTCTGTACTTGATTTGTAATTCATGCTTTAAAGGGAAACTTCGCAAAAAAATGAAAAATTGATATTATGTTCATTATGTATAAAAAAGCACAAATTCATAAATATTAAAGTTTTATTCTGCTAGATAAGAGATCACCATCGATTTTAAATTTAGAGTATCAATTCTCCGCATGCGGCCATTTTGACATCCTCCCTGAATATAAACCACGATATATCTATAAACCACAAAGGACCAAAACAAGCAGTAACCTAACGTAGCCGTAATTGAGTGTCGATATCTTGTCAAGCGTACAGTTGTTTTATCCGACAAGGAAAGCATAAACAGTTTCCCGGGTCACAAAAAAGATTATAATAGACATGGTTGTGCAACCTTTCCTAACTAACTTGATACGGAAAATGTAATTATATATTTTTTTTTTAAATAACTAGTACTATGGTCTGTCGTTTTAAAACTGTTTTTTTTAACTAAGTTTTTGAAACAAAAAAATTTAATGGAAATTAGTTTATAGTCAAAGTTCAAAGTCATAAATAAGTGTTCCGTGTAAAATTGTTTTCGAAAATCTAGTTTGTTCATAATTCTTTTATGTAATAAACTTATTTAAATAAATTCGGACCTTCTCTTATCTGATCACTAGCATGGCTGAAGAAATCCCAGGGGTATTGTGAGGTGACATGACCAGGTATTCAAGCGATTTCCTGTCGGGCTTAAAAACTCTTATTACACAATTACATAAAGCAAGTTCGTGCATCGAACTTCACTGCGAATAGACTGATAGTAGTTGTATTAACGTCGGGTCAGCTAGAGGGTTGATTAATTTTTTTAGTTAGCTTGTGGTGGTAATAAACCATTCCCAATATTGCACTTATGCATAAAATATCAAATGAGAGTAATATAAGAGAAAATATGAATACGAAAAGTCGCATATCTGGTACAAAAAGTCTCACCATGAACTATAGGATTTTACGTACGATTGTCATTCTTAATAGAAATAACGGACACTCATTTAAATACATGCATGTACGCTGTGATAAAAAGAGGTGTCACAGTTGCATAGTATTCATCATAAATCTATTTCAAGTTTATACTTTCCTGTTATTTTTATAAGTTAACGCAGAGACATGTATACATCTCGGTAAACGGACAGAAAGTCACAGGACAAAAAGTCACAGGACATAAAGTCACAAATTGGATAGGACAAAAAGTCACAAATAATTTGTTGACAATTGTTTGAATATATAAGAGAAAGATCTTCGAAAAATTTCCTTTTTATATTTATTCATTTTTAAGTTTAGGAAATTGTTCATAAGCCTTGATAAATGAAAAATTATTAAATTTTAATCATGCAAATGATATATTTATTGGCACCATGAAGCCATTTAAGTGCCAAACCACTTTGACATTTTGTTATCATAACAACTATTTGATCATCATTGATATTTATTGAATAAATTTTAATCATAAAGTTGCTTGATATATTATAGTTCAAGAAAAAATCAAAAAATTATTTTTAAACTTAGTGTTTTCTTGTTCACAGAAAAATAATCTCAAAACTGAATTGTGACTTTTTGTCCTGTGACTTTTCGTCCGTGACTTTTTGTCCTGTGTCCTACATTCATACATCTCTAGCTAACGACAATCAACTATATAAATATCTGAATCTGATGTGATTTACCGTTCAGGTCTTTCCTTTTCTCCTTTTTTGTTATTTTGGCAGGAATATATACATTGTAAGATATACTGTTCCCAGGTTTGGGGAAGGGGGGGGGGGGGGGATTGGAGTTCATGTCTATCGAAAGTTACAAAATAAGAACGGTGTATTTATGAATTTACAAGAAGAATTCTGTTCTTGGGCGTAGTTTTCTTCTTTTTTTTTTAGTTCAGTGATTTAAATTGAGAAAAAAAAATCTAGTCAGAATTTAAATTAAATCGTTCCGGCAATCCCCCACCTAAGACGCCTCTAAAATAATGAATGGTCATGCTTCACAATCATCAGAATTTTCGTTGCATTGGTATATTCTGTATCAGTAGTGACATTTCCGGGTATAACAAGCTACTTGTATATTACCTGTATGTGGTTAGGTGACCTTAGGTGACGTCCCATGAGGTCTTACGTATACAGGTTCACATTTATAATGGTTTCTGATATAACAATTAGGTTTTATGACATTCACACTTCTGCATGTTCTGTATACCAAATTTTTATCTTTTTTTCAGTTAGGATGTGAATATTTTCCAGGAAAATATTGAGTATCAAATTAATTTCGGGATTTTTTTCTTTCTTGGTATTAAATCACAGAAATTTAAAGGATATACTGCTTTTTTCCGTTTTAGGAGTATTCTTGTCAGTTTAAACAGACGTATATATGTCTCTGGTTTAGAGTGGGTTTATGAATGAATGACAAGTCTTGCAAAGGTTCAAGATATAAAGCACATTGAAAATTGATTCCGCCGGTCTTTCTCCATTCAAAAAAGGAAAGTTGACGTTAGGTTGATTCTGTTAATTTTTTAAAACATCGTTGGTCAAATAGCTAAAGAATTTACACTACCAAGAATTTACCAACGTTTTTTTGGTACATTTCTACCCTCGTACATATTAGTACTGTTCGGCAAGACTAAAAACTTGTAATGTTATACTTCCTATTAATTCAGTACTGTTTATTATTATACAAAAACTGTACAATTACTAATTCTATAAATTCAGTACTGATTTTTTCAGTACTGTTTCAGTACTGATTTTGTCAGTACTGTTTCAGTACTGATTTCGTCAGTACTGTTTCAGTACTGATTTCGTCAGTACTGTTTCAGTACTGATTTCTTTAGTACTGTTTCATTATGATACTGATTAAGTCAGTACTGTATCTGAACGGAATATTTCATTATTGTTTTAAGTATATTCTTACTTTTTTTCAGTGCATGGATTAATGTGTTCATTTAAAAAAAGATGTCATTTCTTTTAGTACGTAGCTGTGCACTTTAGTTTATTTATCTTACAATTGGTTACAATGTTTACATTTGAATGCATACAGTGATGCCAATTTGAAAATAAAAAGAACTGAAAAACTAATCAACTAGGTAATTATGTATTAATAGCAAAATTAAGGTATCGGTGGTCTTAGGTTGTTTTGTACATTTGGGTTGGGTTAATTGTTCTCTTTGACACTTACCCCGTTTCCATCCTTTTCTATACTGTGACATCTTGATGATTTCGTTATGTTTTTTTATTTCGCTGATTTTTTGTTCTGATTTTGTTTTACTTTAGGTCCAGCTCTTCAACAGTTATTTTAGCTGTTTTTTTCAATATTTTGGCATTGTCAAATTTGCATCTCATTCTGGTGCGGTCAATTGATATGGTTTATGTTTTTAGTAAGTTCTTATTAATATAGGTTTTATATTTGACAATATCATATTACATGTATCTGTGTCTTGCTTTGGTCAAATCAAAACATATTTAACAAGACTTGAACATTGAAACTGGGTATATTACTTTGAGAAGATGGATGGGTGGATGTTTTGTCATCCAGTGGCAAGTTAAGTGCATAATCAGAACGAGGACTTGATACTCAGATATAAATAATGACACTATTTTGTACTAGACCAATATTACACTGAGTTGAATTTTTGACATGCTAGTTCACCACAAGGAGAGAAT